CATCTCATGCCCCGGTCATATCATGAGACATTACGAGAACAGCTGGGCAGACAACCGTCATGTTTCATTCCAAGCTAGTGCCACTTTGATCCCAGTATAACAAGGTCCCACAACAACCACCGCCAGGGAATGACACAAGGAAAGCAACACGGACTTCCCACTCACTTCTTTGAATGCTGCCTTCATAACACACACTAGGGTCTACTTGACTCCTGCTTGCTGTGCTCTCTGCCCCTATCTGGGGTGACAGAAGTAGCACTCACCTCTGTTGGGGACGAAGACGGTCTCGTTCTCTGCCTGCACGTCATGCTTGCTGCCATCCGAGGGAGGGAGCGCCACCCGGTTCTCGCTGGCGTGGAACTGGCAGTGGATCTGGGCGCTGGCCCATGCCAGCATCTCACTAAAAGCAAAGAGCAACACTTGTGTCTACACTTTAAACCTGGATTACAGCAAGCAGGAACTGGGAGGAGAGCAGCTCTTTCTGCTCAGCTCCATGCAGGACTGGCTGTATGGAAGAAAGAAGGCCTTGCTACACTGTCACTGAAGCCACTCTCACAGCTCCTCTGCAAACAAGCCTTGTGAGCAAGCTCAAGGTGTGGTGCTGACCCAAAGCCACTTCCACCCCAGCTGCTGACTGCAGTTTCTCACAAGGCCTGGCTCTGTGGCCAGCCTTAGCCACTACACCACGGGCACAGCACTGACACAGCACAAGGAAACAACCCTGCCCCAAGAACCTGCTGTGCAAACAAGGCAGAAGACAGCAAGCAGCACAGGTCAGCAGCCCCTGTCCCCTTCCTTGGGGCCAAGAGACAAGGTGTAGAACCTCACAGGGATCTTCCAGAAAACATGCTGAGGTCAAGTGTTCCAAGATCTGGTCTAAAGCCTTACTCATCTTTCTCATCACCCAGAGCTTGGGACTGGCCACTCACTGCACTCTGGGGAGGACACCTCGAGCTGCTGCACATGGGCCTGGGCTGGCAGAGGACTTTTAGCCATGACAACCTAAATCCCAAGCCAGAGGAGACATGCAGTGCAGCACTCCATTAACACAGTCATCAGGGAGGTGGGCAAATTCAAAAGCAACAAATACCTGCAAGCTGGGTTCAACTGCCCCTGCCCACAGCTCCCGGCTGCCCCAAGCTCAATACTTCTTGGGGCAGGCAGGACACAGACATGCTTCCTCCCTCCCTCCCCACAACATCAGTTCCCATCCCCGTCAACATCAGCTGCTGGTTGTGTCAGACCAGAGCAGGATGCTTCTGGGTCTTTCACAAGGACCTATTTTCCTCTCCTGATGCAAGGGGTTTGCTGGCAGCTATGGGGGAGGCAAAGGTGTCATTTTGTCCCCTCTCTGAACAGCCACAGGAATGAATGTAGGGCCACGCATCCAGCACGAAAAACAGTCTCATGTTTTGGACTCTGCTTACGTCCTCAGCCACTCCACAAGGCATTTCCCATGGCATTACTGAGACCTTTCAGTTTCCAAATCACTCATCCAGTTTTATTTCAGCAGTTTTTATTTCTACAGTTTAGCCACAGTATGATTCCTGTGGTGTTTTCTAACATCATGATCTGATTAGTAAGCACTGACACCAGCGCCTTAGGTGGCAGAGGGATTTTTTGCGGCACATGGGTGTCTGTTGGTGTGACATCAGAGCAGTTAAAGGTCTAGATGAACCAGGGGAAAAGGCGTGTCAGCTGACTAAGGATGCACTATTTGATCTTTTGTATGTGCTGGCTGCCTTTGCTCAAACACACCTTGGTTACTCTACCCAGTTGCTTCTAATCCTACAGTTGTAACTTTGCGTTCTCTAAAAATACCAGCACGGCTCTTCCATCAGGGCTGTCTTTTTTTTTTTTTTTTCTGTAAAGTAATGGAAAAAGAGAACTGCTCTTGCTTGAGGCAATGTTACTAATTTTATATAAGCTTACAGTGCCTTCAAACACCACCTTTTGAATATTTTTTCTTTCTTTTTCAGTGTTGCCCAACAATACACCACTGGATTGTTTTCATTTTTTTCTAACCAGACATCCAACCAAAATTTGCATGCCCCTTCCTGCCAGCAGACCTGGCTTGTCCAGCTGGTGGAGCACAGAAAGGATCCTGCACTGGTGCTGAGGTCACTTCCCTCCTGCCTCACCTTCCTCACAGCTCCAGTAGTCCACACAAGCTCTGGGCAAAGAGCTTTGTTTCTTGTATGCCTCATACTCCACAATCAATTTACCTCCTACTATTCCTTCAGTTCTGTCCCTATGCTTCAAATGTGTGCCTCTCCATCCCTCCACCTGTCAGCCCCAAAACCTTCCAGTCCCTGACAGGTCCATCTGCCTGCTGTGCAGTCACCGTGGTTTAATTTGGCTCCTGCCTTTATGCAACTCACAGCTTCAATTTCCAAACCACCAACCTATTTGCTGTCACCACTTGTATCACTTGGCCAGGTCTTGTCAGATTGATTATTTGTTTGTTTGTTTGTTTGATTTTAAGAACTTTTTCCAAGAGGCAGTCTTCTACGGAGCACCACACACTTGAAGTTCCCAAATGAAGCCTTGGTAAACTGCAAACCTACAAAACCATTCCAGCTGGTACCCTTGCAGTCCCACACGTTTTAGAAGCAGGAAAAATGACTCAGTCCTTGCACAGGACAGAACACCGATGGAAGCTCAGAAGCTGGATACTTGTGCCACAGCTGAATTTGAAAGCTGAATTCAGCAGGCAAGAGGAAGCAGGAAGAAAAGATGAAAAGTTAACAAAGGCAATAAACATAGAAGCCCCACAGTGGTAATACAAGAGATTGCTCTGCTGCTGAGACTGCAAGCACTGGGAGTGGGCCCACCAAAGCAAACACGTGTGAATCTCATCCCGGTGATGAAAAGATGCTGAACATGACAGGGCTGGAAACAGACACTTCCCAGGAAGGTCTAGAGATGAGAAAGCACTCTCCACCCCCTGAAGAATCAGACAAGGCCACACACTCAGCGGACATGGAGGCTCTGGGTGATTACTTGTGACACAGAGTCACCCCCTGTGAGCCAATATGGGAAGCTCCCATCTTCTTACATTTCCTCAACACTGATTTTAGGGACAGTGATGATAAGGGGAGATGCAGCACTCAATCAAAGGCTAGGCCATAGAAACTGCTGTCAGAGAAGGTGCCTCTTTCTGACCCTTGACAGTGCTCACCCCTATGCCTGCCATCTCTGGAGGCAGGGATCACACTGATCCCTGCAGCACTGCTGGGTAGAGAGAGCTCCTTCCAGAAGCACAGGAAATAATGACGCTGCCTGGATGTTGCTCTGAGGGACTGTCACCCTGGTGTAACCAGATATCCTGCTTTGTCAGCCAGTTTGGCTTCATTTTCCGTCAGTAACCCTGTCACTGAGGGCTCACCTGAGGGGCAGAGAATCTCTAATTGCATACTTCTTGCCTCCTTCCTGGGGGCAGAAGACCAGAAGAATTTACCTCAGCTTCATCCCTGAAACAGCGATAGCACAAAGCCCCCTTAAGGGAGTGCATCGGGCAGGGAAGTCACAGTGGGCTGAGCTGGCACCATTGCCCCACACCTCAGCCATGAGTGCTGCTCCGGAGGGAGAGAGGCTGGGTTAGGGACCCAGGCAGTTCCAACATTTGGAGGCTGCATGCACAGACTAACATAGGCACTGTACCTGCTGGCGGAGGTCGAAGAGGCCGACAATGGGTTGGTGAAAGTGATCACACACTCCAGCACCTCCCCTGCCAGGAACACAGGCCCACGGCCCAGCTTGGCCAACACCTCGATCATGGCTTGGACAGCCCTGGTGCACACCTGCCAAAAAAAAGAACAACAGTGGACATGGAATCACAGAATCACAGAATGGTCTGGGTTGGAAGGGACTTTAAAGTTGCATTTCGTTTCAACCCCCCTGCCACGGGCAGGGACACCTCCACTAGACCAGGTTGCTCAGGGCCTCATCCAGCCTGGCCTTGAACACTGCCAGGGATGGGGCATCCACAGGTTCCCTGGGCAACCTGTGCCAGTGCCTCACCACCCTCACGGTAAGAATTTTTTCCTAATATCCAATCTAAACCTCCCCTCTTTTAGTTTAAAGTCATTCCCACTTGACCTGTTGCAGCGACACGGAGGGAGGGCTGGGCGCTGTAACTGAGGGGGAATAGGGACACAAACACCAACAGATGGACACACACACACACACACCCGGGAGGTGAGCGGGGGAAACCCGCACAACCCTGGCCTTACACACATATACACCCCATCCCCCCGGCCCTCACAGCTAAGAGTGGTCTGGACACGCCGCGAGGGTGAGGAGGGACAGCCCTGACACCCCCAGCCCGCGGGTCTCGAGGCCGGCCCCGACCGCAAACACGCACACGGGAAGGACCACCCGAGCGATCAGGCACACAGCGCCGCAAGGTCCGCGCAGCTCCCGCCCCGGGGGCCACTCACCGCCCGCACAGGCCCTGCTCGCCGCCCAGCGCCGCTCCGGCCCGGCTACCCTCAGCCGGTCGGCGGGGATCGGCAGTGCTCGGGAACCCTCGGGTGTCGCTCGGGAATCCTCGGGCCGCGCTCGGGAATCCTCGTGAACGCTCGGGAATCCTCGGGCCGCGCTCGGGAACCCTCGGGCACCGCTTGGGAACACTCGGGCGACGCTCGGCAGCTCTCGGGTGGCGCTCGGCAACGCTCGAGAAGGGCTCGGGAAGGCTCGGGTGACGCTCGGGAACGCTCGGGTAGCGCTCGGGAACGCTCGGTCGCAGCTCGGGGACTCTCGGGCGGCGCTCGGCCCCTGCTCGGGAACCCTCGGCAGCGCTCGGCCCCTGCTCGGGGACACTCGGGCGGCGCTCGGCTGCGTTTGGCCGGGCGCCCCCGGGTGCCGGCGGCGGGGCGGGCCCGTGTTTCCGCCGTGCCCTGGGGGCGCGGGCGGGGCGGGGCGGGGCGGTGAAGAAGAGGGCGCGCGCGGGGCGGGGGGCGGCGATGGCGGCGGAGGCGACGGCAGCGGAGGGGCCGCTGATGCGGCGGTACGAGGGGGCGGCGCGGGGCCGCGGCGTGGCGGCGGACGGCTGGCGCGTCTGCCTGGCGCACCGCTTCGAGGAGCCGCGGCAGCCCTACGGCGCCGGGGACGTGTCGCTCCGAGACGTCCTGCGGCACGTCGGCCTCGGCTTACGGTACGGCGGGGGATGGAGGGCACCGGGAGCACACCGTGGAGGGAGGAAAGGGGGATGGTCCCGGGGGGACACGGCACCGCGCCGCGCTGGAGCCCCTCGGTGCCACGGCCGGCTCGCCCCGGGGAGGCACAGGCGGTGTCCCGGTGCTCGGAGGGCAGAGTCCGGCGGATCACGGAAGGCCCCAGGCTGGCGGGAGCCGCCCTGCTCGCGCCCGGAGCCGCCGGCACTGGGAGCACTGGTGCTAGAGGAGCAGCACCCGGGCTCCCCAAAACTCGGGGAGCTGGGAGGGCTGGAGGCATCGCTTGAGGATGGGAATCTCCCACCCCCAGGGATCGCTGCCGCATTTTACCCGGCATCGTCCCCGGTGCTCGGCGGCAGGAGGTCAAACCGGGGCTGACTGGGAGGGGTTTGGAATGCTGTGAGCTGTGGCAGGTTCGGGAACGGGGCACTTCTCCCGGCTTTTCGTCGGGGAGAGCTGGAAGTAACGAGAACACGCGTGGAAGGCGAGGGTGTTGTTTTAACCTTTAAAGCCGGTGTCCGAACGCTGGCGGTGTTTGTGCTCCCATCAAGCTGAACGCCGGCACAAGTGACGGCATCGTCGCTTTATTTCCTTGTGCTGGATTTATATCTCCTGCCTCCATTTTCTACCGGTGTCCTTAGAGGCTGCTGCTTGCCAAGCTGGTTCCTGCAAAGCCTAATGAGAGGGCAGATATTGGATTGCTTCGGGGTGCACAGCACACCTGTCTGACCTGAGACACCCTGGCGCGACCTTGGGCATCAAGGGAAGGGAGAGTGTGGGTCAGACACTGGAGATAAATGAAAGCTGCCACGGCAGGTTGGGATGAGCTGAGCATGTGGGAAAGCATGAAGTTCTGGTGGGGTGAGCAGGGAGAAGTGATCCTGGGGAGGCCACTCCTGGCATGTTCCCACAGGGGTCTGAGAGTGGAAGTGGCTTCTATCAGTCCTAGGAAAGGTTTTAAAAACAAGGAGCTGAAACTCAAAACACTACCTCATCCCCTGTGCAAATTTAGGAGGTAGTTTGGTTGTCATCTTAAAGTACTTTTGCAAGGGCAAAGCTTCCTTGCAGCCTTGAGGAGGGGAGAGGAAGTGCCGAGGTGGCGAGAAATACCTGTGTGGGTTTGAATTAAAACTTGAGGGCAGCGTTGTTGCCTGGCAAAGGGCAGCCAGTTCAGGGATGCGGGGATGTTTGGGAGGCTGTGTGCTCCGGGCATTGGTGGGCACTTTGATGTCTGCCTGGCAGAAGCATCCAGCTCATAGAAACTTGGGTGCTGGTGCTGCGAGAGGAGCCTGGACCTCAGTCCTGCGGAATGGTGTGTGGATCTGAACCTCTGGAGCCCTGCGGGTTGGCATGTGCTCTTCTGAATGACCCATGACGAGTGGCACCAGTGCCAGGAATTCTCTCAAAACCTGGCATGGCTTGGTGCATCAAGTGCAAAATCACCTGGTGCAGGTGCTGGTAGCTGCCTAGATGGCTGGGAGCGCCTTGGGGTTGCTGCACATCTTTGCCTCAGGAAGTCCAGAACCTCCAGAGGAGCCACCACATCCTGGGCTGATGTGTGTCGTGTCAAATTAAACCTGATGATGGGTGTCCTCTTCTGCACCACCAGCCTGTCATGCAGGTGGCCTGGCTGGGGGTGTTGACAGCCTTGGGGCAGAACTTTTTGTTAATCAGGGCTCATTGGTGTAGCTCTGAGCAGGATGTACACGTATGGAAAGAAAGGGTTGTGCAGGCTGGGGCTCGCAAGGCAGGAGAAGAGGTGCAGGCAGATTTCTGCAGAGGTGGGCTGGTGCGTCGTGAGAGAGGGTCATGACATAAATCTAGATCAGCTGAGTAATGTTCAGACAGGTTTTAATTCCACTGCCAATTTGAAGGGAAAGAAATGCCCTCCAGCCCCGACAGGGCTTTTGGGGCTGCAAAGCACAAAGGCTTTCTCCCAGTTATTCTGCAGTCCTGGCAGAGCTATTAATAGCCAGCAATTGGGCATTGACCACCTCCTCTTCTCTTGTGTGATTCTGGGAGAAGCTGGCAGGAAAAGAGGTGGCAAACGACTCTGGCATTGGCTGTAAATCCCAAACCTTTCCTGCTGTGTGCTCCTGGAAAAACTGCTTTTTGAAATCTGTCTGCCACCTCCTTTCCAAGGAGTCGTAATGCTCCGCTAGGCTGTGCTGCAGCCACTCTGCCTGGGCACCTTATTTCCTGTCTCCAGAAACCTGCTAGGGAAGCAGCTGGGTTGGTCCCCTGACGCTGGGTTGAAAAAGAATAATAATCATTTCCTTGAGAGACAGAGAGAGCACTGCCAAAACCTCACCTGGCAGGGTAAGGCCGCGGCTGTCTCAGCTGGAGAAGAGCAGTTGCAGCAGATGTAGCTGGAAGATATCGGCAGGCCCTGGTTCAGGGCGGTCGTGCAGGACAGGCTGGTTCTCATGATGCCATGGACCTCTGTGAGCAAAATGTCCATAGTCAATCAAATGTGAGGGTGGGTCTGTAGGAATGGAGAGCACGCAGCAGTCAGGTCCTGGGAGACTGCAACCCAGAAAATCTCACCCCGAGAGGGATTTGGGGACCTTTGAATGTTGGTGAATAAAGATGAACATCTAGTGACCACGCAGCCAAAAGGTCGAGCGTGGGTTGTTTCTGTAGGGGAAGTATAGAATTAGCGTGTCATAGAAGAACCTCTTCCCCTTGCTTCTGGGTATACATGTCCTGGAGGATTAGTGCTTGCCCATTGCCTGCCACCTGCATCCTGCAAGCCATTGGAGCAGGACAGACTGTGTTCTCCCAGCTGAGGTGGTTTTCTCCTTGGCAGTATGGATGGCATGGGTGCCTGCAGGTAGCTCAGGGAGATTGCCCCTGCTGCCCACCTGGCACCTGAGGGCATGGAGCTACTGGTTGGGTCTTGCCTGACTGTTTAGTAGGCAAAGTTCAGCAGCTTCTGGTCTAGTAGCTGGTTTCCGTATGCTAATTGTCTCCATATGGAAGGTTTAACTCGGGGCGGTTTATTAGCAAAGCCAGTCCTTTACAAGCGCCAACTCGGAGCCCAGCCCTGCTGCTCTTGCCTGGAGTGGTGCTGGCACACCCAGCTGCAGGTGTGCCCCTGTTTGGGTGTCTCGATTCCCAGACCTTTGGGTGAGAAATTATCTGATGGGCAGTGCAGGGCTATGCAGCAGGCGTGCGGGCAGAGGTGAGTCCCCACAATCCTGCCAGCTGCAGACTGCAACCATCACCCCCTCCAGGTCCAGGCTGCCCTGTGCCACCTGCCCCTGAGGATGTGGCACTGCGATGTGGCAGGACTGTGTGTGGCAATGGGGATGTGGAGGTGGAAGAGCAAGGCTTGTGTCCCTGGAGCAGTGTATGGCTTCTCTGGGCATGTACCTCCACTCCCAGACCTTCCTTAGCTGGATGTTCTGTACCAGACATGGAGGTGGTGGTGGTGGTCCTTATGTGCATTCCCACTTCTCCATGGATGTTTGGAAAAGCCTCCGGTCCTGCATGAGCTGGGAGCCCTGCACTTGGGTATCAGAGTGCTCTGTTTTGACACTGGGTCTATGCAGTCAACCCTGAGCAGCACGAGCTCTGCCTGCTCATGCCTGCTGACGGATGTGCGCTCCAGATGGATGGCAGGGGCTGTCAGCCCTTGCGCCCTGGGACACACATTCCTGTTGTACATCTCTACAAAGAGGGAAAGCTCAACCTGTGCTAGTCACATCCCGCCCAGTGACACTGAAGGCATGGTGGTGCCTGCTTTCTTCTTTCATACCTCTCTTTCCCTTGCAGATACTTCAGGTGGTGGGTCAAGAAGACCCGCATAGAGAAGAAATCTGCCTTCATTGACCTCTTGTGTGCTGTCCCTCTGCAGCAGATCTACGGTCAGCTTCCAGTCTGGGCACAGCTTGGGGTGGTGCAATACCCAGTGTGCTGGATGGGCAGAGATTCACATGGGTGCTTGAGGGAATGAGTTAGTTAATGAGCATGTGTGGTGTGGGCAGTGCTGAGTGGCCCCCACTGTGGAGCTGCTTGGGGAGGGTCCTTGAGCCAGATCCCACCATGGGGAGGAATGGGGGTGCTAATTTCTGGTGTCTTTGCCAGGGTGTCCGCTGGGCGGGATCGGGGGAGGCACCATCACCCGTGGCTGGCGGGGCGAGTTCTGCCGCTGGCAGCTGAATCCTGGCATTTATAACTATGAAACAGTCATCGCCAACCAGGTAGGTACAGCAGGGTATGCAGGGGGAGTCAGTGGCACTGCAGCAGCCTGGGCCATTGGGACATCTGTCATTGGGCTCATTTCATTCCCTACATGTGTTCCTCTCCTCCCCAGTTCACCGTGTGCCTGCGTTGCAAGGGGCAGACGATTTACCAGCAGGTCTTGTCTGTGGAGAGACCCAGCACTCTGCAGAGCTGGAACTGGGGCTACTGTGGCCACTATGCCTTCTACCATGCCCTGTACCCCCGGGCCTGGATGGTCTATGAGCTCCCGGGGCAGAAGGTTGTGCTCACTTGCCGACAGGTCTCTCCCGTCATCCCCCACGACTATAAGGTAAGGAGGTGATGACATCCCAAAGGGAAGAGCTGCTTATTAGCTGGGCTTTCCCAACATTTCCCCATGTCTGTGCTCAGCAATGGCCCCATGCAGGAGGAACCCCTGCAGCAATGCGGGAGCTCGGGATGGCAGCAAGGGATGGCTCAGCACTCCCTCACGTTGCTCGTGCTGGCTCCCAGCCCCAGATGAGGGTGGCAGGCTGTGCTGCTGACACATCTGACCTTCCTCTTACCCCAGGGAAGCACGTGAGCCTGTATCAACCTGCCAGGCAGCTGAGGGATGAGACACCCAGCTGAGCCTTAAACGCTTCTTTCCGTCTCCCTCTTGCCGGGTGTGGTGTTTGCTAGCCCAGGGCTCCTCTTCTGAATTTTGTATTACCTGCCCCATAAATTCCTCTGCTCCTGCTGGTCCTCCTCAGCTTGGCAACAGACTTCAAGACTGAGTTGTTCCTGGTGCTCTTGATCCTCCCCCTGTGTCCTGTGTGGTTTCCCCTGGAGTGAGAGAAATCATCCTCCGGCAGCCAATGGTGGAGCACCAGCCGTGTACACGGCATTCTCTGTCTCTGCCAGGACTCCAGCCTGCCAGTGGGAGTGTTCATTTGGGAGGTGGAGAACGGGAGGGACGAGGACGTGGAGGTGTCCATCATGTTCAGCCTGCAGAACGGCATGGGAACAAAGGAGGACAGGAGCGGAGGGCACTGGAACGAGCCCTTCGCCTTGGAGAAGGATGGCGAGCGAGTTGCTGGAGTCCTGCTGCACCACTGCACGAGTGTGAACCCCTTCACTCTCGCCATCTCTGCCCGAGAGAAGGTAAAGGACTGGCCCTGGTGCTGTGGCTCCTGCTGGGGGGTGGGGCTGCTTCCAGGCAGCTGATAGTTCATGGGTGTGTCAGTGGGTTGGGGTCAGCAGCAGTACTCAGTGCTGCCTGACTTCAGGGGTGGGGACATGACCTCCCTGTGGGCAGGAGAGAAGCTGTGGGTGAAGCTTACAGGGCAGTGGGTGAGTAGGTTTGGAGTTGCACTTGGAGCACAATAAGCAGGGAGTGAGTGTGACGTACCAGTGTTGTTGTTGGGGGCGGAGAGCCTGCGTCTGCCCCTCCAAAGTACCAGCCCCTGAGGATTCTCTTCCCTTCTCCAGGCTGGCACGGGAGTCACCCACCTGATGGCATTCAATCCCACGGGATTGGGTAGAGAGGTGTGGCAGGACCTCCTGCAGGATGGCAGGCTGGATTCACCCACCGGTGAGTCCCTCCATCCTCCATGGGACATGTGAAGGGGGAGTAGGGGCAACGGGTGCCCCCCTGGTTGTCGGGCACAGGGTACCTGAGCCAAGGCAGAATTCCCTTCCTCCAGCTGCCTTGGTGCCATTGCTAAAAGCTCTGTGGGATGCTGTGGCTGCTTCCCAACTTTAGGCTGTATCCAACCTTTCCGTTGCTTGTCCTTGTGTGCTTCTCTAAAAGAGTGGTGTTCACACCACTTTGGGGCTGTTCCTGGCATTATTAGTTCCAGGTGCCAGTATCTCCTTAGTCTGTGTGAGGTTGCCCACTGAGCTGGGGTTTGTGCTGAGTAGCCAGGGTGCTGCCCAGCCACCTTCCCTCAGTCCCTGTTGCCGGATGAGTGAGCTGTGTCCCATCAGATTGGTTCCAGCAGGCGTTTAGCAGCCCTTGGCATTTGGTGCTGTCATCACTTGCTGTCTGCTTGTTACTGTACCAGTTCCCCAAAGGTCTCCGGTATTCCCTCGATAACTCTGCATCATCCTTCAGCTGTCTGCTCCCTCCCTTGGGAGGAGCCTGGAAGCAGGGTGCTTCAGGCAAGGTCCCAGCCCTTGCTGCTCACCTCCTCTTGCCATGAAAGGTGACCATTTGCCTAATGTCTCTGTCAGCTTTTAAGCAAGGATGATGCTGACAAACTAGTGGTGCTGACATTGGGTCTTTGCAATATTTCTTGAACCTTACATTATGTAAATGAAGTGTTTGTGTGAATATTTCTGGAAAAAAAAGCTTCCTGCCTGGATGCATTCAGAGCTCTTCAGGCTGTTGGGATGTGTTTTTCCTTCATGAATGCCAGATATTATCATAGTCAGGATCTGTGCTTATGTTAAAATTGTTGCTCTGCTTTGACTGAGGACTCCGCCCATGGAGTGGATCTTTTCCTGCAGCAACAGTCATCCCTTAAAACCCTGGGGCTGTAACTTGCAGGTTGCAGCGGGGCTGTGCTATGCCCAAAGGGTCTCAATCCCCTCTGGGGTGTGTGTGATCTTCATTTACCCCTTCACAGGACTTCCTTGGTCTCTTACGAATACGATCATTTTTCCCGTCAGGTCAAAGCAGCCTGACGGAGAAGGGGGAGGTGACAGCAGCGGCGGTGTGTGCCAGCTGCAGAGTGCCTGCCCGGGGACACAGGACACTGGAATTGGCCCTGGCTTGGGATAGGCCGTGTGTTCACTTTGGCTCCAAGGAGAAGCTGCATTTCAGGTGGGTGGGTTGTCTCCAAGGGGGTTTGGCTCATGTCCCTGGAGTCCCCTGATCGCTGCCTCCAGGCTTGTGTTCCATGTGAGGAGACTTGTGCCACCCATTCCCTGCATCCGTGGCCCTGCCAGCTCAAGAAGGGGACCCTCTGCCCAACCCCTGCTCCTCAATGACCCTACACTAGTAGTTGAGTTACTCTGGCATTCCCTATAGTCAAGGCCCTCTCTCGTTTCCGGGTGGCTTTCCCAGCTGGAGCCCACGGTGTGCTCACCAAAACCCCCTCTTGGCAGGCGGTACACCCGGTTTTTTGGTAGTGGAGGTGATGCTGCTCCTGCCCTGTCACATCACGCCCTGACACACTATGAGGAGTGGGAGAGGAAGATTGAAGCGTGGCAGAATCCCATCCTGGAGAACAGGTAGGGTGGATGAGAGCCCCTTCCCGGTGGGCTCCTGGAACTGGATGGAGTGGGAACATCCCCACCTCGTCCACTGTGGTTGAGTTTCCCTCATTCCCGCAGCCAGCTGCCTTCCTGGTACAAGTCAGCCCTCTTCAATGAGCTGTACTTCCTGACGGATGGGGGGACCATCTGGATGGAGGTGCCCCCAGATTGCTGTGCTGAGGACCTGCAGGGGCCTGCAGGGACTGGCCTGTCCCACCTCTTCCCTTTCCTGCGGGAATACGGAAGGTTTGCTTATTTGGAAGGTAACTTGCAGGGATGTGATGGATGGTCCCAAGTCAACCCCTCCCTGCTACTGTTACCAGATGTTTTTAACCTGCCATGGGAATGCTTTTCACACCACAATGGGTAGGGAGCAGCTCTGTTCCCAGGAAAACCCCTTGCAGCCCTTTAGGATACGGTATGAGGTCTTCCCCAGACCGCTGGTGCTCTGTGGAAAGAACAAAACCTGCTTGTAACAGGAGTCTCTGCCTTTGTTGGGAAAGAGCCTACCCTGATGGGCCATGTGTGAGGGAGGACCTGCCCTTCTTTTGCCCTCCTTGAGGCAGGTCTGCTGTCCCTCACCACATCCCCTGTGTTTCCAGGCCAGGAGTACCGGATGTACAACACCTACGACGTTCACTTCTACGCCTCCTTTGCTCTCATCATGCTGTGGCCCAAGCTGCAGATCAGCCTGCAGTATGACATTGGTGAGGGAGCCAGGAGACCCTGCCTTGGGGCCTGCTGGGGTCTTCAGCTGGGGAAGAGATGGAGGATTTGGGACAGCTCCTGCCATAGAGACCTGTGCCATCGCGCTGGCATC